TCCTAAAATATTTTTAAAATTAAATTTTGACTAAAATTTTTTTTAGAGTAATATTCTTTCAATGATCTGTTCTTACTTTTGTCATAATGATTGTATATGATGATAACTAATTATTTTAGAAAGATATTTGTAAAAAGAATTATACGGAAAATGAAAAAGAATATTATGAAGAAATACGAGAAGAAAGAAGGTCGTAGACCGAGGTTAATGAGTTTGCTGTCGCCTGTCATGAATGGTGGGCAACAGACGCTGTTGCCTTTTAAAAGAGGCAGGTATATACCCTACAAGTTATACTATCGTACCGCACGTGGTTTCCTGAATGCATCCCCATTGGCCGTGACGATCTTCGGTATGAATTGCCCGGTGGAAGGGGGCAAAGAGCAAACCGCTCGCCGGCAAGATGGCGCCTGTTCTAAATTCAAAACAAGGCGCTGCTTAGCATATACATATCCCGGAGTCGGAGCTGCAACGCTATGACATTCGCAATTCAAATCGTACATTTCTATTACCATTTTAATTCAAGGGCACTTGGACGCGCCGCGCGCGTATTACCTCCGCGTCGCCGGTGCACCAGGGGTCATCACATGCACGCACCGGAATCGCGAAAACATTCGACTCGATATCATCTCCAACGCGATTATCACGCTGCTACAATCACGACGTAACGCTGGAATTCTGCATAACCCCCTGTTACTTATTGCAAAGTCAAAGTTGTCGAAATAATTTTTCATCAAGCTTTTCACAAAGGCTATTTCGTAAATCATTCTCTAACAGCTCGCTTTATTATATTTTTATTTTTTTCACTTGAAAAAGTAAGAAGATGGATCTATTCTACTAGTAAAAATGGTTTGATAGAAGTAACGTGTTTTTTTTTTTTTAATTTGTGATAGCGTTGCTCAACAATTGCAAACGGTTTATTTTGTCGTATTAGATACTTGTTGGACATTCGTGATTTTTTTTTTTTCGCTTTCGATAGTTCGCTGAGAAAAATTATGTCACCCCTATCGAACATCTGGCAAAAACCCTTTTAGATGCGGCCAAGGATTTGTATCGACGAAAACTGACTCGTTCCCGCGAATTTATGTGCGCCGTCAGATTAAGGGACGTACCGTTCCTTTTCTTTTCTTTCCGATCGAAGCGCCTGCCATTGTGCCACTTCCGTGTATTCTGTTACGCATAACGAGATCCTCGGGATTTCATGGGGTTCGGAACGATGTATCGCTACTTTGTGCTAATGACCGACTGCGTCCGGGAAAAACTGTACGACAGATGTTCGGTCCACTTTTCTTGAGACGTGGGCAAAAATTCATCTATAACGGGACTACATAAA